TGATAAGCAATAAGGGCTGGCCAATTTCATATTAGTAATCATGTTTGTGGTCTTTTCAGGGCCACAAACAATAAAAATGTTAACAAAACACTAGCATCGGTCTTCGTAATTGCAACACGTATTCCACTGGGTATGCATCAGTTAATCTGTTTTCAGTCATTGTAAGCATGCAAGAAAATTCACAATTCCCATCCAAACAACACTAAATTGCAAAAGGCTTATGCTTTTCACTTAAAAACCACCAGTATTTATTTAAATATAACAATATTTGCATAGCAGTTAGCATAAAATATCATAAAATCAATGGCGTATCCAAAAAATGTCATAAACCGTAAACCGTACAGGACTTTTTCACACAGTTGTACTCAGAGGAAGATCTGGGTTTACAACAATAAGGCCCAGTTCATACACAAACAAGGAAGAGGTGATCAAGCTCTCTTGGGATGGAATTCACACAGCATGACATCGTTCCATCAGGATGCATGTTCCAACACAATATGTGTGCTATTTCCCCTTAAAAATCCCCCTTTTCCGTATTTCTGTAATGATCTGGTTTTGCAATCAAAAGGTATTACAAGGTCATAATACAATTGGTTTTCCTTGGGGCACTCTTTGAGGTGGAAGGATGAGCTACTTTTACAAACCAGAAAAATCATGTTGGGTGTTTCTCTGTAAGCATATGAATTTAACTACAAGAGAAGAAGAAGGATTCTCCGAAAAGAGGGAGTTGTGAAATTGTCAGGTTTCCACAGAGAATCTGGAAGGGAGTAAGGAACACTTTGTATACTCTACCCAAGGAACTAGTGGGGTAGAAATAGATGTAACAAATAAAAATAGAATTCTCATTAAGTGCACAAGGATAAAGGAATGGTGGCTGTAACCTGTGCATGTTGACAGAAAACTGGTCAGAAAACTCCCTCAAAACACCCTCAACCTCAAATGAAGACTAACAACAATGTTAAGGTTTCCAAAAAAAAGAAGAGGGATCTTTCTTAGTATTACTTTTCCTGCTGCAGTTACATATTATCCACCTCTTGTTCACATTCTAAATATAGCAGATCTTGCGCAGAATTATTTGTCACATGCAGCTGCATTTTGAAAAGCTACCACGCATCACAATCCTGCCTCACACACAGACAAGCTGTGCCGCAGATCTGGATGCCTGGGCCATACCATCCCAGTCTGCAAAAGGGGGCCCGACTAGTCCTTGAAAAGAAGAATTCAGTCAATAAAAAGGCAAGAGGACATCTGAGGCAACCATCACCAAGAAGGCCCACAGAGCTCTCGGGGTCCTGAGACGAATCTCTCAAAAAGTGGGAGACCTGAGGCACCAAGGCTGCCTCTCAGGCTGCAGCAACCAAAGGTAGTCTTGGAGAAAGAGAAGGAAAGACTTACATGCCATGCCTTCCCCACTTCAGCAGCCGATTTGAACCCACAAACGTCTCCCCACCACTACCTCTTCTATCACTGCAACCAAGAAGGCCCAAGAGAGAAACTCAGCAGCCTCAGTGCTGACTCGACAAAAGCAGAGGAGGAGGAGGACCTGGCCAGTTAATGGCTCTTTTGATTCTTGTGCCCTTAAGTCATTCTCTGTTTTTCTGTAGAGAAGGGCCTACTTTTTAATGGAAAAAGAGAGAGAATGGAAGCATATGAAGTACTGATATGGGGAAGCCCAAGTTCCACTTTCTGCTTTCCCCAAGATCATTGTCTCCTTTGCCTCTGCTCTTTGTTTGCCATTGTCTCATTGCGGTGAGCAATTTATTTTCCCAAGGGACTGTTGTGGAAGCTTGAAAGAAGAAGGCTGCACGCACGGCCACATGCAAACTGAAATAAAGAATAGCAGTCATCTCAAAATAAAAGCAAGGCAACTGTACTGTGTCCATGGAATGCACTTATTTCCATTTGATTTCTAATCAAAACCTATAAACTCTGCTCACATGGCACCTGATAAGCTCAAATTTGGATTCTAGTTTACCTCAGAGATCAGCCATAGCCAGCTCACATCTCAGGAAGTGAGCCATTCATGACAAGAGGGGACATGCATGAACCCTACCCTGCCAATCCCTACCCTGCCAAATCAGATCAAGAAGTACACCTGCAAAGTGCAGTTCTATTGTGAGATACGTTGCGCTTACAAACACATCTGTGTTAGAAACTATACAATCTTAAAATTTCTGAGGTCTTTACCTTAAGTTCCCCGCTCTGTCACTAACACACTTCTTCTGCTACAACCTGGCTATATTTCAGTCAAGACTCAATTATGACTCTGCTGGTTGAAGTACAGGCTTAAACAAATGAGGGGTGTGGGCAGGCAAATCTTTAGCACAATTAGTTTTGAAAGACAGGCATCAGTCTTCTTGAAATAAGGAAAGAATAGATGATCCCAGTCTGCATCCATGCTAAGCTTCAATGAAGTCCAGAAAGTGTTCAAGCGTGGAAATTTAAATTTTGATTTACCAAGAGAGAATCAACACTTGCCATCACTACTACAGTAAGCTCACACACCCTTCTTTTCAAATTCCCCCAATACCTTTATCATTTATCAGTCCCATCTCACAGGAGGGCCTTGATATTAGCTCATTTGAATGGGATTGTTGGGCAAATAAAATGGCATTTCTTACCAAGAGCATTCATACCAAGAGTTATCTGTGCTCAGACTTTAAAACTGGTATGGTAGCTTACATACTTTTGGAATGACCTATATCAGTTTTGGAGGCCAATGCTAATCTCCCCTCTTGTTTATTGCTCAAACCACTCTCAAATGGTAGTTATGCACTACTTTATTAAATGACAAGGATTGAGAAGTCTCTAAAATGGAGCTAAATTTACTACTGTGGCAAGTAGAAGTTTTTGAACCCAATTGCTTCCTTGGGTATAACCTACTTCAGCCATGAATTTTTTTTTTTATTGGATATGTATGTGTTGTGCTGTTTTAACTTCTCTGTTTGGTCTGTGACTATATTTTTAAAGACCTAAACTATGTCCTGCAAAGAAGAGTCTGGGACTGATGGTGTTCTGAGAAAGCCCCAGGGTTACCATGGTAACCCTGGAATCCTGAACCAGACAACGTTAGTATAGATTCCAGTATAATTGTCCTGAGATTCTCTAAGAATAGAGACTCTATTTCTAGTCCAACAATCTAGTCCACCAACAAGGCCCCTATTCTATTTTGTAGGGTTGGATGACTGGTGAGACAAATCTATAGGATTTCTACAGTCGGCTTTCTCCTCCTCATATATAAACACCAGAGAGCAGCACAGGAGTCCAAGTGGAAAGAAATTCGGGAAGAAGCATTTCAGATTATTGAACATACTCCATCTTAATTAACTCACTATAAATAAGGCTGGGAAATCCCTATGATAGTTTCCAACACTTCGCATTTATCCCATACCTTACTGAAATCTCATACTTCCCATTTCCTTGGTCTTACCCAGTTTGGGTGTGTATGTGTGGGAAGGAACTATATAATGTATTAGTACTGTCTTCTTTCAGCATTTTCTAAAAGAACCACAGAGGTAGGGGAAGTCAGCATGGAAACCCTAGGATTTGATGATGGTGTGGGCAGCGTGAGAAGTCTGAAACATTCAGATCCTGAAGCTCTTAGATATTGTACTTATTCCCTTTCAGCATCTTTCTCTTACTTTCTCCTTAGGGAAAAGCAATCATATAGCCATGCCAGAATATCCACACAACAGATGACTATGCCAACCCACTTTCTTTCTTCTAGAATACTGTAAGTTCTCTCATGCTGATGGCACATCAGCGCTGTCATCTCAAAAGAAGGGTAAAATTATATGTTATTGTTTTGCAAAGAGGCCCATTATTCACTGTGATGGATAAAAGAGCTGATCAAGGAAGGCTTAAGTCACTAGCAACTGTCAGTAGGTATGCGACTCTACAGTTTTCCTTAAGGCCACCCAAGTATTTACCAACTGTATACATGGATTTCACTTAAGTAAAAAGGGGTGCACTGTATAGCTTGTATACTCAATTAAGATCCACTAAATAGGCTGAAGTTACTTCTGAAAAGGCTATGTAGGATTTGGGGACCTAACTGCAATTTTATGCATACTTACTTTGAAGGAAACTCATATAAAGCACTATGATTAGCCTCTATCAGAGCGAAAGTATCAAACTAGCTGGCAACAGCTAGTTTTTGTGTTTGGACCCTAGTAAAAATCATTCAGAAGATGTACTCTTCTTGGTGAAAAATAAATGTGGCTGATTTGAAAACTACAGTTCTATTTTTAAACTATTTACATTTCCAAAAGAGAAGCCAGATGCATGCATTAATATTATATGCAGGTAGACTGCTCAGCTTTCCTGACCTATCACAGATCAGTCCTAAGGTGCAGGTATAGCTCATGATTCCTATTTTATAAAATGTATATGTGTGTGAGGCAGTGGGGGGCAGAGGGAGAGCATATATGGTGGGGGAATTTAAACATTTCATTGACAGCAGAACATTCTTCTGCAAAGTTATATAATGGAATTTCAAGACAATCCAATTTATACTTAACAGACCATGTAGATTAGTACAACATAAGACATAAATTATATAACAGAGCTGGCTTGGGTTTCCAAAGTCCATAGGACCATCTTAACCATTAACGACAAAAAAAGAAAAACATAAGGATGATAAATGATGATCCCAGCAAAATGATAGAATGTCAAAGCTAGTGTCTTTCAGAGGAGCTGGACTGCAATTCCCCATTACCCACAACCAGCATGACTCTGAAATGGCAACTGTAATCCAAAGCATTTGGAGATAATCAGGTTGTAGAAAGTGGTCTACTGCATCTTTTACCGTGGTTTGTTTTTCTTTGGATCACCTATTATCGTGTTAGGAAAGAGAACATCAGTCCATTTCTCATTGTTCATTTACATTTTGGGTGGAAAGAATGATTAAATTCAAATTATAAGCATGGACTGTATAAACACAAACATTAAGGCTAAGAGAGAAGGAGACAACTTTGTGGAAAAAACAGCAGGTTCCTCACCTCTATGGTAGGATCATACTCATCAACAAAATGATTCTGAATCAGTTGAATGGTCAGTGCACTTTTCCCAACGCCTCCTGCTCCAACCACTACCAGTTTGTACTCTGTCATCTTCTGGGCTACCCCAGCTCAGGGTCTGCTCACGACACAAGTGCCTGGAAACAAACAAACAAACAAACAAATAAATAAAAGCACATGAAGATCATAAAGACCAGGCAAAGGGTTTCTCCCCATATCCCAAATGATTGTCAATCATGCATGCTATCTTACAAACAGAAAACAACCACCACTACTGAGAAATAACTACAGCAAAGGGACTGGAAGTCAGAGCTGTAGCTGCAGATAAGTACATCCTTAGACTCTTTTTATTATAAGACAGGGTAACCACAACATCCCGAAGCTCTAGTCTAAAGGGAAACAGAGCTCTCTGAAAAGCATTATGTAAAACAACATAAGGGAGGCAAAATGTGCACGATGTAGGGAAAGGAGCTATTCATTATTCAGGGCCAGTTAATCAGTATTTAAAACCTATGGCTACCCTGGTACAGTAAATAGAGTGCCAGGATGAGCTATGAAGTCCTCTTCCTGCACCTATGCCTTACTTAAACTTATGTGGCTGACGCAACTAAGATAAAGGATAAAAATACTTGTAAATACGCTGCAAGTGAAATCCAAATGCCTGCCCCTCTTTTCACGCTGGAGTTTATCTCCCATTTATTTCTGCTCATAAAGAATATTCTCCAATTCTAGAAACAAACGACTGAATGAATTTCCTAGACATTCTAAATGTAAAAAATAAAGGCTTTTAACAAGCAACAAATTTGTGGACTATGAACAAATTGCTTTAAACACTGTTTCTTCTCCTTTCGTATACGTGAAAAACGTGAGAGGCAATCACAGATACAGCTCTCGCAGCAATTTCCACAATCAGAGGAACTCCAAAAGCATTGTTATAATTATAGAAATTCTATAATGCATCCCGATGCCCCGCAAATTGTGCTCTCCCCCTCTCCTCTCTCCTCCCACCAGACATATATTTATTTTGTGCTGCATGCTATATGAAGGGACCTGGTATAAAGGAAAAGCTAGAAAAGAATAGTACAGATAATCCTTGAGTTATGACCACAATTGAGCCCCAAAATTATGTTGCTAAATGGAACATTTGTTAAGTAAGAATTCTGCCCCATTTTACGATTTTTCTCGCCACAGTTAAATGAATCACTACAGTTATTAAGTTAGTAACATGGCTGCTAAGTGAATCTGGCTTTCCCAGTGCTGACTTTGCTTGTCAGAAGGTTGCAAAAGCAGATGACAGGACCCCGAGACATAGCAACCGCCATAAACATGAACCAGTTACCAAGCGCCTGAATTTTGATCACATGACTGTGGGGATGCTGCAGTGGTCGTGAAAAACAGCTATAGGCCACTTTTTTCAGTGCCATTGTAACTTTGAACGGTCACTTAATGAACTGTTGTAAGTCAAGGATTAACTGCAGTCTGCAATTTAAAGCATAATAAAGAGTAGCTACAGAACTATATCCAGGGGTATTAATGTCAAACACTCTTAGGAAAGCCTGAAAATATCATCAGCCAGGTGTTTTCTGTTTTCCCTTTTTACTTTCTTGATATACACTACACCCAGTAGGACTTCAGGATATTGTTTTATACCTGAATAAGCATTTAAGAACGGTTACATATGTCAATGGAGAGCTCACAATTTGCTCAAATTACAAATCCAAAGAGTTGCAGAACCAGTATGCATGCTTCTTGAAATAGCCTTGCTCCCACACAGCCCTATTTTTCACCTAAATTGCAGCTGTAGGTATAAGGGTGTGCTGTCCATTTATGCTTTAACCTGTCCTGCACAATACTGGCTCTGAGAATTGAAGATCTTCAAGAATAGAAGACTGACTCTAAAAAAGGCCTGGGTATAAATCATATTGTGTCAGGCTTTGTTTAAAAATAACACGTTTATTGTTTGGTTTATCTGTTCCTTTCACCTTTCTTTGCTGTCATAACTCCCAGTTTCTAAATCATAATTAGAATGGGAATGTTAAATTTCCCAATTGACATTTTCATGACTAAAAAAATCTTGCCAGAACAAGTTAATGTAATCTGCCCAATTGCAATTTTAATAATAATAATAGCAGTAATGACGATAATACATTTTCCTTAAAACCAAATATACAAGTGTTTTAGATGACATAAATAAAACTACAGAAGAAAATCTGCTCTGAATTAACCTAATGATGATAATGATGTTATCCATTCAGTCATGTCCGACTCTTGGTGATTCTATGGGCCACATCTTCTGATCTGCACTACTCCTTTGAGTTTTTTTATGCTCTGGTTGGGCTGGTGTCCAGCTATCGTGTTCTTTCATGGTTTGGTTTCCTTTTACCATTAACTTTTCCAAATATAACTGCTTTCTCCAGAGAATTTCCCCACATAACATGGCCAAAGTAAGTGAGACAACTTAATAACAACACTTGATAATATTCAATTATTAATCAATACTTTGCTTTTTGTTTAATAAATATATTCATTTATTAGCTTTTAAAATTATTAATACTTAGCAATACTCTTTCATTTTGAGTATGTACAGATCAAATCAGAGACAATTAGCACAGAATTTTATTTTATTTATATAGGACTCAGTCTTCTACACCACCATAGTTACTTGCATTTTATTACTGCAAAAAATAAAAAATGGAGACAGAGCCAAAATATTGCCTGTATCCACAGCAATCTTTTCATGAAAAGGTCCCATTTGAACAGAGTATAGGAAACTAGTTTGCTTTTCTAAGATTCTTTTGGATAACAAAGGAAATAAATTATAGAGAGGGACTTAATTCATTCTGAAAAGAGGACCATTATTTCCCAATTACTCCCATTACATCCATAGCTTATTACAAAAGGAACAGAAATGAGTAAGAATGACTAGATTCAGAAGCAAGTAATCCATCTGTTAACACAAGTTGACCCTATAATCAACCCACAATGCTCAAAATGAATCTGGAAAGGACCAATCCAAACCAGTCATATATCTGTTCTTATCAGTTCTTCCAAAGTGTGAATTAACACTCCAAATAACAGCATAGCAGAAGCATCTGAGCAAACATTTTAACAAACTTAATTTGTTAAATAAAGTTGGAAAGTTGTTTTTCTATGACATATCCACTACAGGTCCTTATTTATTCTCTACAGATCTAATAAATAGTTATGCAAGTGAGATTCTATAATTTTCTCCTGTGGTTCTCTTCTTGGAGGAGCTAAATCTGTCTTCCACTACCTGGAAAAAACTGCACAGAGAGGAATCCCAGAAAGATGGATAATACTGCAGATGAGTTGGTAACCAAGCAATTGATGGTTGGAGAAGAGATGTTAAATTTTCAGTAACTAAGGCAATTCACATTGCAGCTGTCTCTTAGCAGTTTACTGAAACAAAGTAAAATAAACTTTTAAAGAGGTAATCAGAAAGAGCTATTTTCCCATCATTAGGCGTGTTTCACACACATAATAAACTGGTTCTTTGGACCACAGCATAACTACATTCCATGGTACAATTAGAAGTTCATTCATGTACGAAGTATTATTTTCCACCCACTTGGTCCACCGTGAGATCCCTTAGAAACACAAGGCGATCCCCCTTAAAGACAATTATGAGAAACAAAAAGTACTTTATTATGGAATGAATTAAGTGTGTTAATTCAGGGGTCCCCAACCACTGGTCCCTGGACCGGTACCGGTCTGTGGAACAATTTCTACCGGGCCACCGGTTTGCCGGGCACCGCCATCTTGTTTTGATGAAAAAGTGCTTCCGGTGAGCTTTTCCGGGTAAAAAGCGGCGTTTGAGTGCTGAAAGAATCCTTGCGCCTTAGTTTCATCGAAGTGGGGGGCGGCTTTGAACAAAACTAAAGCGCGAGGGTTCTTTCAGCACGCATGGCAAGGCGAGCCGAGCGACCGTCCCGAAGCCATTGTGAAGCCCATCGACACAGGTACAAAGGAGGAGTTGAAGGTGGCGGGGAGAAGCGGGGGACGGCTGGCTGGCCGGTCGCTCAGCTCGACTTGCCATGCGTGCTGATGCCGGTACCGGGCTGCAGATGATTTTGTGATGCCAGTACCGGGCCGCGGCACAAAAAAGGTTGGGGACCACTGTGTTAAATGATACCACCTTTTGCTTTGGGTCTTATAAATATCAGCACACAATCTTGGAGGCAAACTCATGTCATAAGATAAATTAAACAGCTTTTAGTAGTGCTGAAAGATAAAAATCCATGTGGAGGCCCCTCCCCTTTTGGCCAGGTTGCAGAACAGCTACCTCTGATCTGCAGGCAAGCAGATCAGAATAAAGATACAACCAAACTGCTTAAATTTTCTCTGACCACATTGACACTTGGGCTCCAACAGATTAAGTGTGCCTCCTCAGCACCAAACAGAATCCACCCAAGATAAGGGAAATAGCTACACCCTGATGTTAGACCCCCTCACAAAAATCCAAATACAGGCAAAGATCTGCATAAGATCAACACAACCCACACGGCAAGAAACTATTTTCCTCCCCAGATTTCACACACCTACAGGCAGGAATGCCTTTATTTATGCATCTAACAAAGTCTATTACTTCACATTTAAAGTCCATTTAATTTTGTAGCCTATCTTCAACTGCTGTTCTCTATGATAAGCAGGGGGTTGCACTAGAAGACCTCCAAGGTCCCTTCCAACTCTATCATTCTGCAATTCTGTAAGCCATTGAATAAATCTTCCTTTTCAAGCAGTTGCCTTGTATGTTTATTAGTGACCCGGCTTGAATTCTAACCCAGAATCTTTTCTTCTAACAATTGGCAACCACTAAGATTCCTGATCAACAAGAGACTAATTTGGCCCGTGTGAAACTTCCTCCAACCAGCATCTGACCATATTGTCTGGAGGATGCTGCCCCGAGTTCTGCCTGCCATGGCACATAGTAAAGGGAGTTTTTGATTTGAGTCAAGTAGCTTGAATTAGATGACCCAGTTGGTGACTATCTCGCAAATTTGTGTTTGTGTGCCCAGTGATTGAGTGTGTGTTGCTGCCCAGAATCTACATACCACATCATCTTCAGCTGCACCCCATCTCCTATGAGCTTGTGTTGAGCCATGATTGGGAGACTTCG